TTTTTTTTAAAAAAAAACAACGTATGGTTCAGAACGGATTAACGTAATTACATTGAACCTTATGGGAAAATTTGATTCGGGTCGCGACCAATTCGGGTTGCGACCAGAGTCGCGGAACGAATTAAGTTCGTGAACCGAGGTACCACTGTATTTTACAGTTGCCTCTGAATTCTGTAGTTTGGATATAATGGGAAATTTTGACTTAATGAAGTCAGGCTACTGGGAGTATAGCTGGTGTGTTTCTTTAGGAGTAGAAGGAAAAGGAAAAAAGAGTGCAGAGCCATGACTCTGAATTATCTTGCTTATTATCCAAAGAAGACTATTCAGTTCAATGAGACTTAATCCCTAGCTGAGTGTGTATAGGAACACAGCCCTGATGTACCTTCAGAATATAAAATATTTTTCTGATTACTTACGCTTGGGAGCATTTTACAAAACCTGACCCCAACATTCCACAATTGCCAAATCTGTCTCCTTTGCTATTGGCTCTTTCAAAACAAACATTCGGCCCTTTCTCTGCTCCTACAAAATCAATAAAAGATCATTATCCTATGGAAAGGATAACTGACACAATCAACAGATCACTAAAACCTCTTGGCATCCCTGTAGCACATAAACCAATGAAATCCCCCCCAAACGTCTTAAGCAAACCCAAAGACCCCCTAAACAAGAATAGGAATCATTGATAACATACAATATAAAGACTGTAACAGGCATTATCTAGGATAGACAGGAAGAAGATTGGCAGAATGCATCCAGGGACATCAGTTGGCAGTCAGAAGATATGATGAAAATTCTTTATCCTCTCAACAGAGACAAACTCAACCTGAGTTTCAAATAGGAAACTGTTGTCATTTTAGATCAAGCCAAATTAAAAAATGCCAGGGAATTCCTGGAAGCTTGGCATTCTGAGAAACCAGCCATCAGCACACATAGAGTTAAACCTCATTTGCACACCATTTAAAGGACATAAACAAAAGTTAAGGAAGGAAACAAACATCCTGCCTCACAATCAACACCCAAGTAAGCAGGAAACAGCACCAGATAAATAATCAGGGAAGAACAATACACTAATCAAGGAACTATCAAGAAAGTAACCACACCCCAACCAAGACTGGCAGGGCAAGCTTCTATATATAAACAACCAGCAAACCTCACCCTCCCACACACTGATGATATTACCTAGCCTGGTGACAAAACATCTGCAGGAAAGCAACCAAGTTTGTAGAATACCAAGAACCCAACAGTTCAACCCTGAATTACATACATTCTCTACTATTGGAATAAAAAATCATTTGCAAATAATAATGATCCACATTCCAATACATAAACACTTTCTATATAACCCCTTTTGCCTGTTTATTATCAGTTCCATAAATCACAAATGATTTAAATCATACCTTTTCCAAAGAGGGATTCACATTGAGAATCGTAACTCTGACATATTCCACTGTAGCAGTAGTCTTTCATATCATTACACGGGTAGCCATCCATCACATACACATCTTCCGGACAGTCATAGTAGGTTCCATTGCAATATTCAGGGAGATCACAGACATTTGATTTTGGTCGACATTCCATTCCTGCTACCTTGAACTTGAAAACAGAGTTTTATTGATTTATAATTGTAACACATTTAAAGCATTCATATACATTTAATGATACGGGAGAAGGAGGAGAAAGAGATTTGTGAAAAGGAAAGAGAGGTTGGGATAGTTTCTGGGCCAAACTACTGGAATGGTATGCCAATGATTGCATTGTTAATTATACAGAAAAACAAAACAAGATCCAAAGCAAACCCACAAGAAGTAGTGCTGTTTCAGTCGTACTCTATTATATTACAGAAAACAACATTCATTGCTTCTATGAGCGCGGCCAGACAGCTGCACTGAAATGCAATCTCATTTGCTTTTCAGTGCAGTCCAGTCCTTGAGACAGCATAATTATGCTGTCCTCACTGCTAATCTCTACTCTGGAGTCCTTGGGGTTCTCCGAGCTTGGTGGTTTTCTTGCAAATGTTTCATTACCCAGCTAGGTAGCATCTTCAGTGCTCTTCATGTTCAAGAACCTCAAGGACTCCAGAGTTCAACCTTGAGCTATACATATTCTCTTTTACTGATCTCTGTTCTGACTCAGCACCAAAGTCAGCAAGTGCAACTGTCCTTATTTGAATATGGGACAGGAACTGGTGGGTTTCTTCAGCTTAGTTTTCCCTCTCACCAAGCATCATTACCAGCAGAAAAAAAAGTTCATCCATCATTCTAAAACATGGTGGGGCACGGCTGGTGCGTATAGGTGGCTACTTGGAACAGCAGATTTATCTCCCTTTCAGATTGCCTGACTGGCAGATTGCAGATGCTACATCTCTTTAAAAAGCAGGGATGCCTGGGCTGTGCTGGAGGTTCAGGCAAGGCTTGAAGCAAACAAGCCACATGAAAAGTGGAAGACTGGAAAGCCTTTAAGAAATAAATGTGTCAAAGCCAGAATGGGAGTAGGAACAGGAGTAGGAAGACAGGAGGGAGTACAGGAAGAAATCATATCATTACACTGCTACCAGAAGCATACTGTCTATTCAAGAGACTCAGTCTGAAGGAGGATCCTCTACTGCAGTCCCCTTGCATCAGCTCTTAGTGATGTAACAGCCAATTAAACAACCAGTATAGTTAAAGCATCCGTCTACAGCTGGCAAGATCCAGCTCAAGCCTCTGCTTAGCCACGTAACTGCCTACATCGCTTTGGATGAACCTGTGGCCTAATTTATCCCATGGGACTGCTGTAAAGGATTGTTATGAAGAAGGATAGATGTCTCCTTGAGCTTTTGGGGGAAAAGCAGGATATAAAAACGATAAATAAATATATTCAGACCACAGAATTACAACTGGGGCAGGGGACCTGGGAGGGAAAGTCACAGCCCAATGAGCATGGAAGTAGTTTTTTTTTTTTAATATACACATATCTAGCTGTTGGATTTTTCAGGCATGATAATCCCTTTTCTCCATTCTCTCTCTCCCTCCCTCCTTCTTTCCTTCTTTCTCCTGCTGAAAATGTAAATCATTTACTGGAGAACTAGAATATATGCATGTATGGATGTATGCATGTATTTATTTATTTATTTATTAACTATTTTAATGAACTTTTCATTAAAATATGTGACATGCACACACATACAGTTCTATCTGTCTCCTCTGGAATCTTTAATTTTTTTACATACTTTTACCACCGACTATTATCAGAGCTTCAAGTGGATCTTAGTGATACATACAGTATAAGGAACTTGAATGAACAACAAACACCAAAGTTTGGTGCTTGTTTCATCTGTTTTATTTAAAAAGTAATCCCATATGTGATATTCCACAGAATAGAAGACCCACTCTTTTCTACATGCGTCAAAGGAGTGGGGCTTTGATTGTGTGATCTCTGATGCCATCCTGAGTTCTTCTGATCCCTCCAAATGCCTGTGCATGTAACAGTAAAAAGACACAACTGTATATATACATATATACATTCACGAATGATAATGAATTCAAAACAAAAATCATACTTTAAGAAGAATATATTAACTCTGCAATTCTATGTACATTTAAATGTTGGAGTAAACCCACTGAACATAATGGGGCTTCATATGAATTAAGCAAGCACAGGATCATGCTGCACATCTACACAAAGGATAATATATTTTACCTGACACTTTTCACAGCACAATCCTTCAGCACATGCTGACCCAAAGGTTAGCTTGCAAGTCGTAGCATCACAACAAGGATTGGTACATTCCTGTTAAGAAAATGACTTTAGCTGGATATTCCATGATCAACTGTCAAAGAAAACTTGCATTAGACTCAATAAGACCAATATTCTTATCACTAGGATGTTACTGAGAGAGTTTAAAAAACATTTCCACAGCACTTTACTTTTTATTTTAACCATTTTTTTGTTAAAAAGCACCTATTTATAACTATACAGGTAGTCCTCAACTTACAAACACAGTTGGGACCGGAACTTCCAATGCTAAGCAATGCAGTCATTAAGTGAGTCACACCCGATTTTACAACCTTTTTGCTGCAATCATTAAACAAATCACCATAGTCATTAAGCAAATCTGGCTTCCCCAATTTATTTTGCTTGTTGGAAGCCCCATGGCGATCACATGATCCTGGGACACTGCAACCATCATAAATATATGCCAATAGCCAAGCTCCCGAATTTTGATCACATGTCTGCAGGGGTGCTGTGATGGTCATAAGTGTGAGGACCAGTTGTAAGTCACTTTTTTCAGTGCTGTCATAACTTTGAACAGTCATTAAATGAATCATCGTTAGTCGAGCACTAACTGGATAGTGAAATCAATGTTTTATAAACACCTGAAAAAAGCACTTGATGGTGAGGATTACTAGAGATTTTACTTCATGTCACACTTGGAATTCCATTAAGGAAAGATGCGGTAGAGAAAAGAAAACTGCATGGACACATGGCACAAGTCAATGGCATTCTCCATGTTCATCAACATGAGTGAGGCTAAACAAGATAGAAGTTCTTTGTCCATCTACTCCTCTTTTCAAGAACTGCATTGATGCTGCATTAGGCCAGTACCAAGATAGCACTGAGCAACAAATTATAGCAATGAGTACTCATATTCAATTCTGAAAAACTGTGAAGGGACACAATGCAACATCTATCTGTATTTCCTTAAAGAAACTGTGTATTTTCCTGGTTCTACAGATGATGAGCATGTGAACCCAGAAAAAAACACAGCTGTGCTAAGGAGTTACAGAAAAGTGTTACATTTGTATCCCTGTGTTTAACCACATTTAGCATTTTAGAATGGAATCTGGAGCATTGCATAGCCCTAGTGTTGGTGTGTGTATGTGTGTGTATAATTCTAGCATATCAATATTTTAAAATATAAATATAAATTACCTACTTTTGGAGTGCCACAATCACATTCTTCATTCCTATCCACAATGTTATTGCCACACATGGGCTCTGTGAATATATCACTTGGCTTGGGAGAATTTCCGAGACAGCTTCCTCCACCTCTCAAGATGAGATGTTCAAAATCATTGGAGCTGCAGCTGCTGAAGTTCTTGGACCCACTAGAAAGCACAATTTTTCCAATATATGGAAAATATTCCCTATTTTGTGCCTAAATTCTGTTGATTTTTATATTTATACAATCATACTATACTTGATCTTAACACTAAAACAATGTTTCCCCACCTCAAAACTAAGCCTGTTCCTGACTCTGAGAGCTACATGATACTGTGAGCCAGAAACCAGCCTATTGTTGAGGGAGGAAACATATAAAAACTATACTATAATTCCTCTAATAGGCTTGACATAGTTAAAAAAGAAACCTTCAAGTCCACCCCCCCAAATCCAGAAAAGGCTGAAAATCCCAGTTGTCTCTATCCAGAAAGGCCCCTTGATCAAAATATTAGATCAATTTTATAACTTGCAAATGAGTCACTATGCAAACTAGGGCTTCATTTTTGACCCTGGCAGCATTTCTTGATTCATGACCTGGCACTATGATACGTAAACAAATTTAACATTCATTAACAGCCTTCAAGAGTGGGGAATCTCCATCCAACATTTGCCTGTGATCTCCAGGATGAAGATTAAGACTAAGATCAACCTATAATTTCTCTCATTCTCTGTCCTTCAGAAGCTTCATACCAGCTCAAGATTTTAAAGTGAACTGCCCCATATGGAATTTGTTCCTTAAGTCTATCCTAATTTATCCACCTCTGCCCAGTTCATTCTCCAGAGAAGCAGCAATTCATTGTTTCCTCTTTAACCAATTAAGAAAGGTTTAGGGAGAATTGAAGTTGCTTTGTTTTCTTTTGATCAATGTTACTGGCTGGGCTCCATGGGATTTGACAAGTTTATCAAGTGATTAGAGTCCCTAATAAAGCCTTTATCTTCTTGGGGAATGAAAATAACATGGATTTTTTTTTCAATAAGCAGGATGATTTACCTCATCATGATCAATGAGCATGCAACCTGACAAAAGCTAAGATTTCCTAGGCTCAAGGACAAAGATGTCATGTTCTCATCAAGTATATGTGTCCATTTGTAAATGCACAACCACATGTGACTGAGAACATATGGTAATATTACTGAAAATAGCCTACTAATACAGAAAATAACTGTTTAAAACTGAAAATCAAAGACTACTATAGTTTAGTAGTCTTTGATTTTCAAAGAAAATTGGAAGCTTGTAATTATAATAGTTTACAGTGACAGATATTTTATTAAAGCCAGTATCTATGGTGTGTTTGACTCTGCCATCACTAAGGTAAATGTTCTAACACTATATCCTCATCAGATTGTAATGCTTGATCCTAAAAACTCTAGTAGATCACACACCAACATAGAATTGGCATATTAAACTTCAATATACTAATAAAATAAAAATAAGCATGTTTAAAAATAATGTTAAGCAAATTATCTTACTTATCTGAACTGTACATTATATAGGAATTTGGACATCTTCCATCATCATGATTCATACCCAGATTATGTCCCAACTCATGTGCAACAATTGTAGCTTGACTTATCGCAGAGTTCTGATAGAACTGGCAGAGAGATCAGCACTGTTAGCATGGGCTGGGGGGATGATTCTTATTTGAACAAGAAAAATAACAACAGTAGAAAACAGAAAATAAGAGCTATGCTGGACAAATCAAAGTCTATTTCATCTGACATTCTATTTCCCACTATGAACTCCAGATTCTGATGGGAAGAAGTCCACAATCAGGATATGAGCACAATGCTAGTTGCAGAATTCCAGCAACTGCACTCCAACTCAGTCTTGGCATAGCATATGACTGCTAAGACTATTAGTGCCCTTTTAAGGACATCTCAGTGGGTGGCAATTATAACATTTCATGGTAATTATTCCATAGTTAACAAGATTGTGTGAAGAAGCACTTTCTTTTGCCTGCTCTTAACTGGATTACTCCGTTTTTTAAAAAATCTGTTTTAATTTTCTCCCCACCATATACAGTTTTATAAAGTTCAACCATGTTACCTCTTATTAGCCTTTTGTCTAACATAAAAAGCCTTATTATTTTAAGTTTCCTCTACAGGGGAACTGCCTTTGCTTTCAGATCATTTGGGTTATTTTTTTATGCTCCCAGTGCTAGCGTTAGACTTTGTAGGTGTTCAGCATGACTTTGTCAATGAGTTAGCAGTCAATACCAGTGTGGATCTCTGCCAAGTGCTACTGCTTTCCACAGAAGTCTAAACTCAGTGGTGAATTTCCACAATCCTGGCACAATGTAATGTAACAAATGAAAGTGTTCTCTATTTAAAATACTGTATGTTCACAACTGAAACAGGATATTATACTTACGGTAGTGATTGACCCTCCATGATCTGCACTACAGACTGTGCCAACGTAAGCCATTCCAACTGTTGAATCAAATGGCCTTCTCCCTCTGAAATGCAGGAACAGATTAAAGAGTGAGATGGGTTGAGATCCATCTCCAGATTGAATAATATATGCATATACACATTTCCCTTATTTATGCATATTTTAGTACACACACACAAATATACACATAAAGTGCCTCCCTGGCTTCCCGGATGCTACAGAATTTTAACATCCTGGAAAAAAGGTATTGAATTAGATTTGAGGTAAAAGTAGACCTTGACTTACAACCACAATAGGGACCAGAAAATTCACTGTTAAGCGGTGTGGTCATTAAGCGAGGCATCACGTGACCACACCCAAATGTTGCGGTCGTTAAGTAAATCACCATGGTGTTAAGTGAATCATGTGGTTGTTAAGCAAACCAAGTGAATCACGCAGTTCCCCATTGATTTTGCTTGTCAGAAGCTGGCTGGGAAGGTCACAAATGGCAATCACATGACCCTGGGATGCTGCAACTGTTGTAAATAGATGCCAGTTGCCAAGCATCTCAATTTTGATCATGTGACCATGGGGATGCTGCAATGATTGTGCGAGGACTGGTCGTAAATCACTTTTTTCAGCACCATCATAACTTTGGTCACTGAACAAATGGTCATAAGTCAAGGACTACCTGCTGTGGACTCTCTGTCCATTATTTAATCTCATTTGGCTTTAACACAGATATAATGCCTTTGGCCAGACTGGATATCCTGCCTTTTATGTTAATAGCAGGCAGATAGGACTGTCCCCACTGTATTTATCCATTTGTCCAGTTGGGGAAACTGAGGTAGCAACATCCTGTATTTATTATTGTGTTATTGCATTATGCATTTTATATGGCTGAGTGCTTGGACTTAATCAAAATTGGACTTAATCTGATAGATCTTTTTTAGGTTAATCCTGTACCATGTTAAAGATAATTTAATTTAGTCTATTGCATGAGAATTTTAAACCTCTTTATAATTTATTTTTTCTTTGATTACATATAGCCTGAATGGATACTTGGTCTTTAACCATAAATAAAATTTAACTAATTATCTGTAATAACTCAAGATTACAAAAAATACATTATGCTCAAAATTTTAAAAATAAACTTGAAAACATATTTTGGTTTAGATTCTAATAGCTAAGAAAATGTATTTTCTTAGACAACTAGCAGCTAAAAAATCTTTTTAAATTCCTGCCATCCCCACAAAAATCCACCAGCCCATCTACAGAAATCTTCCCCTAAATGACATTGGGATGTACTGTAATTTCCTAAAATTACCATAGTGTCACAACTGTAGAATTTTGATTTTTTCTCAAAATTCCAATATATCTGCATATATAAGGTAAAGGAAAATCCTTACATGATGAGATGGCCAATATCATTTCTTGATCTCTTAATGAGATTTGTCTTCCTCCAAGTCACAAATCTGTCCAACACATCTCCAGCTGAACCGCTATTCACCTCTATGGGGTTTCCATGTGTCCATATTTCCAGTCCAACTAGGACAACTTGTATGTTTAAGGGCCTAAACATCTGTAAATATACAGTTATCATTATTATGTAGGTTTCAGTAAGTTTATTAGATAATGTTCTTCCAAACTGTTTCATCTCTAGCACTAATCTGGTGGCAAATATGCCATGCAATGATAGCAAAACTATCTCTAGTTAATCTGAAGGCAGTGACTATGCAATCAGCACATTGACTATCTTCACACATTGAACTCATAGTCTGCTTTACCAAGAATTAAAAAACAAACCATAATTAGCTGAATTGAGACAATGTACTACCAAAAAGCATGGTTTACAGCTCTAAAAGTTTGTAATTTTTGAATCTGGTTACTCAACGGAATCTTCTTTGTTTGAAGAGAGCCTCCAATATGCATAAATACGCACCCACTGAGGTGTTGTATGTAATTCCTGCTAACCCATACAAACACTTCTCCAAAATGATCACTCTTAACATGAATTATACTGCATATGTGTTGAGAAGCTATATTCATTGCTAGGAAAAGCAAAGGATCTAATGCAATAAACAAACATTTTTATCCAAAGCTTCCTGTCTCCCAAAATTTAATAGTTAAGTTCTTACAACTATCTGAGATAGCAGAGGGATAAGACTCATAGCAGGAAGAATTTTTGTGCAACCATGGAAGATGAGCTAAAAAAATCTTCCTACAACAGACTAGGCAGAACAAGAAGAAATGTATGACTTAAAGAAAGAGGACTGCGTAGGACTTAGAAAGTAAATCCTGATCTCTGGAATGGGATCCTAATACAGGAATGGTTGCATTTACCCAACACGGGCCTATGATGCAGTAAAGGAAGGTGACATTTTACAGGCTATTGAGGTGAAGTCCTCCTGATAAGTTGCCACTCTCAACAAATTCAAAAGTTATATCCAAGACTCCAGCAATTTTTTTTTTATTATAATCACTATCTTCCTAAATGCCCACATAGTTACATTGTTTAACATTCAGTGTTTTTCTAGTACTGGAAAAAACAGCAATTGCACAGACCAACAAAGGTTTAGGCTGTAATTCCAATCGGTTCAGGAACCATAATAAGATCATTTATGCTTAAACTTGCTTCTCTGTATAAGCAAGGTCAAAAATGATAATGAGATAAATGGCTGCATCCTAGCCCAATTCTATTTATTTATAAATGTGTACATTGCTCACTGCAACAGCTCTCAGCACATTATAAATTACATATAATTTATTTAAAAAATGAGAAACATTCTAAAAATGCTCCAATTAATATTAAATGTAAATGTTAAAATTCTAAAAGGCCAGGAGTAGGTTTTAAATCCTATCCTAAAGTGTAATATGAACGGCCTGCCATAACTCATATACAATCAGTACATACATGTAGATTCCCTTAACTGGTCACAAATCTCAGTTTTACAAATATGTATGCTTTTGTTTTATATATTTTTTATGAAGTCAACAGCAAACAAAGGCTAATTGTAAACTGAATTATGTTACACAAGAAATGTTGTAATTTTTTCAGAAGCAGAGCATAAAGCCAACTTCTGTACCTTGGTTGTTACTGTTGTTTTTTTTATCAATATTGTAACCACCTGCAATTATGGAGATTACACTATTATCCTGTTTTTTACTTCTGTTAAAAAACAGTGACATAAGAAATGAATAACAGATGTCTTTATGCTGACTTACCCCATCTACATAATTAATCAATTCAACTGTTTCTTTCTGTACAGCTTCAACAGTTGTTTTCAACGAATACTAAAACAATTAAACAAAGAAGATATTCTAGATCAGGAAATGCAATTAGGAAACAAAAAAATCCCATAGCCACATTGGTCCATCAAAAAATCCAAAATCCAAAATCGGATAATACTTTCATTTGGATCAACCAAAATAACACAAATTAAGGTGAACACCTTTGAATTCTCCAGGACTCTTGATCAGGCATAATGCTATTAAATGGCATAGGACAGAGGTTTTAGACAGGAAGTCTGCAGTTTTCAAAGTCAGACTCAAGATGGAAATTGAATGCTGTATGCAATATTTGGCAGTACCCATTCAGGAACTAAGGAAATAATCGTTCATTCAACTTTCAAAACACAAAGGTTATTAGTCATCACTCTATCTCTTGCCTAGGAAGAAACTCAAAGGTTTTTGTCCTAGCAGAAATAAAAACACATTACTGTCTTCATATGAGCAATGGAGCCACAGAGTAATTCTGGATGTTGCACTAGGAAGAGAGAAATTACCCTGTTCTTATCAACAACCATATAGAGTTCGATGTATCGTTTATCTGGCAGCACAGCTCTTCTTTTCTGTAAAATGGAAAACAGACCCTCATTACATAGCTGTTCCATTTGGAATTAGTTCAAAGTGACAGTTCAAAAATTAAGAAAAAAATGAAGACACACTAGGCATCCATAGCCCATTAATGATGTGAATAGTTGTCTGAAAATAACTAATCCCATTTGGGTAAGTCAAGCAATTGTTTTCAAAACCAGATCAAATCAAATCAAGCATCCTTATTTGCTTTTAGTATTTTGATTCAAGCTGAGTTTTGGATCCAACTGTGAGTCAACAGTATATTTTTCCTCTTTTTTTTCAGCTGAATTACCTGAAGTTGACTTCAAGATACAGAATTTTAAATTATTATAGGCAGTCCTTGCCTAACTACAACTGGGACCAGAATCTTGGTCATTGAATGAAGCAGTCATTAAATGAAACGCCCACGTGACTGCTTCACTCAAAGACAGCTATCTGGGCACTCACATTGCTGTCATTAAGTGATCTCCCATTTCGTTAAGCAGGCAGAGCAAAAGAGTTGTCTGCTGAAGGATTTCAGATCCATGTGGAGCTGAAATCCTTCAGCAGACAAGCTCTTTCACTCTGTCCTCTTCCCCCCCCCCTCTGTCAGTGGTCATGAGTCGCAAATGGCAATCTCATGATCGCGAGGTGCTTGGCAACCAGTCATAAATGGAACCCGGTTGCCAAGTGCCTGAAATGCAGCCACATGACCACAGGGGGTGGTGCTGCAATGTTTTACGATGGCTGTAAGTGCTTTACGGGCCATAAAGCACCCTTTCTGAGGCTGTTGTAATTTCAAACCGTCGTTAAACAAATGGTTGTTAAGCAAGGACAAGCTGTATTTGATCTTTGCCCCCTTTTTCAAAGCATTATTTAATTTTAAAAAGAAATAACATGAGGAAAGATGTCCTTGATATGAAATAAATAAATTATTTGTTAAAAGCAAAAGAGCTGTAGCTAAAATCTAGAATACACAGATTAAAGTATGCAATGTTTGAAAAGTAAGATAAAAATAAACTTACCCTTAGAAGTGTATCCTTACTGAAAAGACTATGTGATATATTGGTGTATTTTAAGATATGTTCATGATACTGGTCATCATTTTGTACACCACATGAAAAGGGCTGTTGATGAGAATTATCTAATACATAAAAAAAGTGTTCAAATTTATTTGATCCCTTGACTGGCTCCATGCCATATTGTTTTTCACCAATATAGAGGATTCCCCTAAAAACAGGACAAGAAAAGTTATTTGATTAAATGCCAGCCACATAAACAAAAATAACCCTAAATAACTACCACAGAGCAGTACATAGCAATATGACAGTATAAATATGTTAGTTTTTCAATGAGTGAATATAATGATATGTCTTTAAATATATGGTGACTTTTGGGTTGAATTAATATCAGATTCAAGTCTGCCACAAATGTCTAGAAGTTTACGTATTTTGAAAGACCAGATAACTTTCCAAAATTCCAATAATGTAAACTAGGGATAGGAACCTCTGGCCCTCCAAACATTTCTGAAATACACTCTCCCACTGTCCTTTGCCATTGGCCATATTGGCTGTGACTACTGGGAGATATTCTTCAGCAAATTCTGGAAGGCCATAGGTATAAACCATACTTTTTATCTACAACCAATATTCAAAATAGCAACACTGTCCCTCACAAGCCTTTTTCAACTTGGCCTTCTCCTGATGTGTTTGGACTGCAGTTTCCAGAACTGTCAATCAGTATGGCTGAAACCAGGGAATCCTGAGAATTACAGTACCAACACATCTGGACTCCTCAAACCTTCAAAGATAGTATGAAGATGATCCATGATCATTTTCACTGTTGGGGAGATGAAATGCTGGGAGAAAAAAAAAAGCAAAAACCACTAGCCTGCTCTAAGCTACTGTCACATCCTGCTACCATAAAAATCTCTTATTCCCATACACTCCATACCTAGCAAAACAAAGCCTTTGTTGTATCCTTCTATAGTTGTGGAATCCTGCACCAGGCAGGGGACTGGATCAGATGATCTTCAAGGGCCCTTCCAACCCTTATATTCTATGACTAAATGAAAGAATAAGAAGAATAAAGGGGGTGGGAACCCTAGTTGTCTGGCATTTTGCATCCAATGCAAAGGGAGAATGGAGACCGATGAAGCATTTGTCAATTGCATCCCTTTTGTTTTGGCTACTATTGGGGGTATGGCAATAAGTTCCCCTTATTGGACCTAAAACGCAGAAGCAGAGATGGGATGAAACAAGATTCATAACAACACCATAGCAGGCTCAACTACACTGCAGCTGAGCCAGAAATGACTCAGCAAAACTCTCCAGTGTAACTTCTATCGCGGGAATATCAAGACTGTAGAGTTGCTTTCAAACTAGCACCGAATATGGAAGTGCCTTAGGCTGTACTTTCCCCTGTTGTACTGAAAACTCTTTGTATCCTCAGATTGATAAAAGAAAAAGAAGGGTGATACCTAAGGCCATCACAGGTACTGAGGGCAAGCAGGGAATCTGGAATTCCTTCAACATTTCCATGGTAGTAACAGTGGGTCTGGAACCAGATAATTAACAGCAGTTTTCTTAGGCAAATAGCAGATCCAATTTATCATTTGAAGAAAATAAGCATTTATTCAGTTCTTAAGACATCTCCTATGGAATTCTATGGATTCTAATGCAACTAATGTTTAACCTACTACTTAAAATGAATATATATAACATTATCAAAGCCAACAGAAGCACAACAGTAAATGGATTGCCCTTTTCATTTCCTGCTTCTTTTTTCATTTCCTGCTTCTCTTCTCAGCCAACCATCACTTGAAAAGGGAGATCTCATGCATGTACTTACACCCAGTCATTTTATTTTCCTATGAATGATACATGTAAAAGGAAATATGTATACTCATACCATGGGGGTTTCTTATTTTCTTTCCTTTAAGTCTCACAGAAAATGAGACACACATTTTGTGTTATAAACTGTGGATCATTATACCTAATCTCTTGCTAGAGTTTCAGTTAAGATGTAATAGTTCTCTGAATCATGTTTATATAAAGGATATAGTGACAGGGCTTCTATAGTTGTAATGTGTGATGTGGTTTGTTGGTTTTGGCTCAGTGTATTGTACAAACACTAAATTAAAGCTATTATAGTTAAACACACCTGAGGACATTGGACTATTCCATGTAACACCGGACAGTGTGCATTCTAACTTTGATTTTCTTCTGGACTTTCCCACTGACTTAGGGAGCTGTCAATAACTTTCTAGATATAGTTTCTCCTCTAATTTAAAAAAAAAAGAAGCTTTCCTGCATTGGAAGAGAAGCAATATCAAAGGGCTGGGGTTAGCTAGCTATATCTGCAGAAAAATGTACATGAAATAATTTGATAGTCAAAACCTCAAAAGCCTTGGGGCTCCAGAACAGCCAAACTCAAGACAGGTGAATAGTCTGTGACACTATGTTTTGCATAAAATTCAGCCAAGACAACCATGTTAATGTTTTAATTAGCCCAAACTGTGAGAAGCCACGGTTTAGGGGGGTTTGTTGGAAGATCAGGTCTGTAATTCTCCACTCCTTTTTGGAATAAAATTTTCTGAGCTTTGAATACACTCCTCTCAGAGCCACTAACGCCCTAGAATGCCAGCTTTTACAGTTTTGAAAAGGCATTTTTATTAGCAGATAAAGTTATTGGCAGAAAAGTCAACTTAGATAACAAATTACCAAGTAAATTACTCAACTCTCATTTGGCACTGATGCTAATGAGTGGAGCTGACCCTCAAAGGAAGTGAAGTGTACAGTATTTTTTAGATCCATGATGTCTATCCCTCCCACTCCCCATAGGAAGAGTATTCTGGGGGTTGCTATTCTCTGGGGGAGTCCTAGAACATCAGGCAGAAAAAGTTGGAGCTTAGATTCATAGACCGGTTTAGATTGAGCAATGAAGTCTCTTTTGAAATTGGTTATGTTAGTTCTGTGCTAAAGATACAGGTAGAAAAAGAATACAGTTTCTTAAGATATATTGCTTAACTTCCCAGACTATTAATCATCCTAGCAAAGGAGGAAATATAGTGTATTTCAAGAAACAAATGTGACAAAATAGCCCCTGGCTCAGAAAACTGGTTTTCTGGAATGAGATGACATTATCCTCCCCTTAAGTGTCACACGTGCTAGAATACAATTCACACCATGCCCAGCTAGTATGGCCATTGAGTTTCTATAACTCAAACCCTTATTTATTCATTTATCTTCTACATTTTCTTCAGGAGCTCAAGAAGGTATATATAGTACTATTTATACCACCCCAATTTAACTGCACTGGAATAGAGAGTTGCCTATTCAACAGAACACAGTTCTTCACAGATACCACAACATACCTGGGTTTCAATAGGAGTATTCTCCAACTCGCCCTCTTGGCTATAGGTATATATTGTGAACTCTTTCCCAAGAAGGTTTCTGCAACACATTTCAATGTGTTTGAATTCAAAATGATACTTCAAGATGCAGGTTATTCAGCAATTAATCAGAACAATACAATATTTTAATATGCTGGTCGAAGACAATAATAAAATTTACCAACATACCAATACTTTAATGAAATATAAGATGAATGTGATTTTTAAAAAAAATTAGGTAAACATTCAAGCATTTTTAAATAGGAAAATGTAATCATTTTAAGCAATGGTAGTGCCATATCCTGTTAAGCCAACATGTAATGTTAAGCTACAATGTATATCATGGAATGAATTAATAATACAATAATAATGGATAATTAATAATAATTCTTGTAGTAATACAAGAAGCAGAAACATCCCATGTAGGATAGCAGTCAACTTTTCAATTGCACATGTCAGTGGTCAGAATGTAGTTCTACAGTGTTGTATCCTTCCATCATCTTAAGACTTTCCCTAATCAATAGGAGCAAAAAAGAACACCATCATTATCTAAATCTGAGACACCCAGGAGTTCTCAATGAAGCCTTTATTGTGCAATTAGCCTGCTTTATTCATAACATTTTATAAAGGCCAAGGAATATTATCCTGCATTGATAATATTTTGGTCTTTTTCTACCACTATTTTCATAATGTATGTTTCAAGTGAAAACCAAGGTGGAAAAAAAGGAATAGCTACACAGTTCCTTGGAATTTAGTACTAGATGTAGTCCTGCTATATCTGTGAGCCAAAATTAGTTCTACAATAGTTATTGATATTCTTAAAATGCCAGATATTTTGAGCAAGCAGCCTTTCATTGTCAAGGTATTATATATTCTGAGTATCTCTCATGAGTTATTCCTATGGCATGCTTACTCAAGTCAGCCACTAACCCTGTGAGATTTCCTTACTGAAAGGAAACTACCCTATTCAATTAATTTGTTTTGCTGTTTCTAAGTCACATTTAATCATCTCATTAATCCAGTTATGCATCTCATGGAAATAGGGACATGGAGGCACTCCATCGATGACTGCAAGGTAAGATTTTATGGGCACACACATAGATGTCTTGGTCTTTTGCTTTTCAGACTATTCTATTCTATTTTTCAGACTGCTTGTTTTAATGAGATTTGCATACCTCCCAAAAGATAAGTTAAAATAAAAATGAAAAAGGATTCAGAACTGCATATAACATACTTATTTTTCTTTAATTTCAGAATGTGTGTTCCATTTCCAGTTTGAATCAGGTAAGACAGCTGATCATCTAAGCGTTCCTGAAATATAATCATATATATAAATATATAATTTAACATATACTTCACCATTCCTTGAAATGGTGCTGTTGCTTACAAAAATCCTATGCTGCTTTGTTTACTTTCTAAGCAGAGAACAAATCAAACAGCTCACTCCAGCTTGGCATTTAACATAAGTTTTAAGATGTTTTACTGTATCTTCTGCAACATAAATACAAAATGTGTGTGTGTGTGTGCATGTGTGTGTGTCCAGGTGTACCCATATACATATGTATACAATTATAAATCCCCAACATAGATCTGCAACACATACATTACTCCAAGCCTACAGATTGTATTGTAGTGCACTGTGTGGCTTATGCTGACATAACTACAAAGTCATCCTGTGCAAGGAATAATGCCAGACCCATTCATTTCAGCTCTCTGAAAACTAAAATTACATTGTCACAGTTGTAGCTAGCTCAGTGGATTTTGTCATGGACCAACATGGCTATTAGAATAGGTTGCAACCTTTTCCCATCATGTTTTGCACTGGATCTGTGGTTGCAATCTGAGTGATCCATGGATTGTTGGTTGTTCAGATTCCTCCCTCCAAAATTAGAGACAGAACTCTAACCATGGAGCAATAAAATTCCTCCCATTGTCTCTTGGGTGCAAGACATCAGAGGGGCCCAAAGGGATCTGCCGGACCCAATATTCTCCTGCCTCCTAATCTCAAGATTAGAACTGACATAAAGGCTCTTTTTTTTTCCAGAAGGAAGGAAGGAAAGTTTTTTTCTTCTAATGGCAGGGTTGTAGCATCCAGGCTTTAGATATCTTGGAATATCCATCACTGGAATCCTCTAAACCGAATGATAGGATTGCCACGTCTGGCTAGCAAGCATGATGAAAAGAACTGCATGTGATAAAAGGGTATTTGCATATTAACACTAGTGGTATACTCTGCACTACCCTAAATTGGCTGGCAATAGCAACTAAATCAATACAGTGCCATTATTCCTCCTGATTACATTTAATGAGTGGGACATAGATTGGACCAACAATGCCTGCCTTGTCTGCTTATAGGTATTGTTAAATACTGTAGCATATTATCTGAAGAGCATCACAGGAATGAAAATAACTTAGAAACAAACCTCATTAAAATGTGTCCAGCGCTTCTCCCTGTCTATTAATCTTCTGGGAATTATAATCTCATATGTAGAATGCACAGAGATCTGTTGAGTATGTCCACCTACAAATAAAATGTTTTTAAGTATGTATAGAGAGATTTCCCAATAACGTCATAGTTTTATTAAATATAATTATAAAGAATCCAGAAACATATTTAGAGTGACTAAGAGAATCCACAGATCCAAAGCAGTCTAGTAGCACCTTCTTAGACTAACATATTTTATTAAAAGGCACACTGGATGCAGAGAGTGGCTAAACTGATGTAGGACTGAAACCGGAATGAGGCAGTCAGGTTACTCAGAAGATACAGGTATCAATGATTTGCAGTGTGGAGAAGGATATTGGGGGGTGGTGGTGGCAATTCTTGCTTGGAGAGCAGAAGCTTCTATACCCAGGCCTGGAGTGTTGGGAGTGTCAAATCCATCTTCTCCACTTTCATTTATTATTGACCTTTACACTTTGTTCATAAGCATGAAAAGTTACATGAAACTAATTCAGCAAGACCAGTGAAAGTTTCTTGGACAGCTAGAGTTGCAGACAACTTGACAAGAGAAATGGGATTGTGAGCAAATGAGTAATCAGGTGTATGAAAACCTGTGTATAATCTCTCTCTCTCTCTCTCTCTCTTTCTCTCCACACTCACAGAGCATAGTATTTCATTCTGATTATCAAAAAACAGACTTTAGGCAGACCTCTCCCTTCAAAATCCCTTAAATCTTTTCCTCGACGTAAGTCTTTGAGACTATGATCTCGTCGGTTCTGAAAGCTGCATCAGGAAACACGAAATGTTTGCTTCACAGCTCCCCTTGCGCGAAAAACACAATTGCCACTCAACTCTTGTTTCACTGAAAACGCCTTTACTGGGAAGCGGTCCGACTGACAGCATTTCCTTCCATATAAGGAACCTTAAGATCATTTCCCAGAACTCCGGCTTGACTATGTTAGCTACCACTCTCATACTCCCTAAGCAGCCCGAAAGCCAACCAAGTCCGTTACTTGCCCAGGGCTAACACTAGTTTTCCCACGCCGCTGAGTCCCAAGGTGACGAAGTTCAGGTACCAGGCTGCTAACATGATCTGCGCTTCCAGCTTCGCCGACCGCGGTGCGAACGGCCCAGAAGCTCATCGGACGGCGGCTGGTAAACAACTGCCCTGAAACCTTAGGCGCCCAGCAGGAGGAGTTCACAAACCCCTCCCCACGAAAGGGGTAGTGCTGGTCTTCATCGGCCCAAACTCGTTCCGCAGCATTTTGAGCATGACCACGTGCGCGCTCCGCGATTGATAGGCAGCTGGGCACGGGGCGAAGCCGCAGCGAAATTTCCTCCGAAGCTGTTTTAGGAAGTTAACGGAGATGGGGAGTTTTCGCAAAAGGAAGTGAGAATCAGACGATTTTTAGACGATCGCAGGCCCGTGTTGCTTCTGACGGCGGTAATGGCAAGCTAACAAATCCGCAGTGGCGTCTTACAAATCTCCATTTACGCTCTTTTAAATAGAGCGCGTCCCCCTAGTGCATTTATATTCCAAAAGGCTGAAAACTTCAAGGAAGGGAGGGGCTTTCCTTGAAAGTAAAGACCAAATTCCAGACCCAGACGCTAATGAAATTAAGTAGCGCAACAATACTGTGGTTTAAATCAGCGTACCTCAATTTCAACAACTTTAAGTGGGGTGGACTCCAACTCTCAGAATTCCCCAGCCAGCAGCTAAATTCACAAAGCTTAAAGTTGCTGAGGTTGAGAAACACTGCTTGAGGTTGCTGGTTAAGATGACCTCTGTGGCAGTTCCCCTTTTGCTCCATGCGGTCTTTGTCCTTATTCGTTTTTGTTTCCTAAAAATAAACCTTGGAAGTTGGAAGTTATAGATGTGTAGTATATAAATAAAGCTAAATATTAATATATATTTCATGCCATATATACATGCCTTCCCCAAACCACAAAGGATTGCAGTAAAATTTCCAGCTCTGCTATTGTTCATCCTGAGAGGGAGTCTTGAAAGTTTCCTACACATCTAAAGGTACTGCATTTTCTTCTCTGATGCTTTGCTAATAACAGGCAGATAAAAGTCAGCAAAACAAAGAACAACAACAATGAAATAAAACAGTGGTGGATAATGGCCAGCGTGCACTTGATGAATAATCTGTCCATCACCTACAATATATTTTTGCTGTTTCTGAGTTGGATCTAATGGACATCATTTTGCTAGGATTGTCCATCAGTAACTGCTTCTTTGAGTTTTTGTGTATTATCAGTGACAGCGTGAAACTTCCAGTCTTCTTTTTTGAGTGCATCAGGGTCTTTTCCAATGACTCTTGTTTTCAGCTGGGTAGTTAAAATATTTCAGTTTCAACATTAGTGCTTCCAGTGAACAACCTTACTTTACTTCACATATTGAATTATTTGATCTGGTGGTCCAATATATCATCACCTATTTTCTTCAGCATCACAATTCAAAGGCATCCATCTTTCTTTGTTCAGCCTTTCTGATGATCCTCACACCTCTGTTGCCAGATTGAGATCTATGCATGTTAATATTTTGTCTAGATCTGTCATAGTCTTTCTCTCTTTATAGTTACCAGCCCTATGAATTTTAGAGCACAGCAAAATAAAGTCACTTTAACTTCTTTTCCTGTTTGTATTGGGTTGGCTTTACCTGTTGACATGATCTTGCTTTTATTGTTTGTTTTGTTTAATATTGCACAGCAGCCCAGCTTTTGCCTTCTTTTCTTTCATCTTCAACAAGAAATTCCTTAAATCTTCCTTACTTCCATCCATCAGCATCTATGAGATTGCTTAAGTTTCTCCCAGCATTTTTCCCAATGTCTGTTTCTGCTAGTCCAGTGTTTCTCATGATATATTAAGCATATCAGTTAAATAAATAAGGGAAGAGTGGACAACAGTGGTATAGCCATTCCCAATCATGACCCATTTGGTTGCTCCATATTCTACTCTAACTGTTGCTTCCTGGTCATTGATTCTTCAATATCAACATCAGGTGGCCCGGTATACCCATGACCGACTGACTGATTGCCTGACTGACTGACATTATTTATTTAAGTTTAAGGCTGCCTGACTCATCATGATTCTAGGTGGTGTACAATATTAAAACCATTTAAAACAATACAAAATAACAAGAAGCATCAGGAGAAAAATAAACACTTTCCAACAAACCATTCATCACAGAAAAGGCTCTGTGTCTGCTTTCCAACTTTCTTCCACTACTTTCAACATTTCAGCAGACAGCTGTTTCTTCTTTTACTTTCTGCATTTTGGGATAGTTTTGTTTGTTTCATGTTTAATGATGTTACAAATCTTAGTTCAGAGTTCTTCAGGCACTCTATCAAATCCAGTCCATTAAACCTATTCTTTTACCTTTATTACGTAATCATATGATGTGTTGTTGAAACTCTCTTGTCGGTCTTGTGATTTTGTTTCCTTTAACTTAACCTATACATTAGCAAGAAGGACTTTGTGATCTGAGCCAAAGTTCGCTTTTGTTGACCGAATAGAGCTTTGACATCTTTGCTTGCAGATTATATAGTTATTTTGGTTTCAGAATCATTCATCTGTTGATGTCCGTGTGTAGATATTGCTGCCATATAGGAAGAAGTAAGTGTGTATATTCTACCATGAATTATTTTATGTAAGTCAACTGCTGGCCCAAGAGTCTGACAGAAATCCCACCACCATTATGAAATGTTATAAAATCCTGGACAGGCAGAGTCAAGGTTTCCTGAGCCAAGGAAACAATGTAGAAGGGTGTGGAAACTTGAATATAGTTGATATATTAACTACAGAATTGCACTAACTGATAATAAAATATAACTGCTTTGGGAGTGGAAGCAGTCATCAGCTATGAGTCAATGCAGTATTTGATTAATTTCAAAAGGTTTTTTTTTTTAATGCAGGAAGTATCTACCCAGGATCCTCAGCACCTTTCAATACCATCAGTGGCTTGGCTGAGAGATACTGTATGCTATTACAATTATTTCATTCCTTGGATAGTTGATTCCAGAAAGTAGGGGTGGAAGATTCTTGCTCTGTCAATATAGGTTATATAGCCTCTAGGATTTACTGTATTTTCCCCTGTCTTTCAAGATTGACAGATCCACAAGGTACATCTGGTTCCTTTCATCTAATTCAAGGAAGATGCTTTTTTAAAATTAGAAATAGTTTTATTAAAATTTACAAACACAAAGATAAAAGAGTAATACAAACTGAAAGAAATATAAACAATGAGGAAAAGAAAAAGAAATGAACAAAGAGAGAGAAAAAAGAGAAGAGAGAAAAGAAGAAGAAAAGGAGAAATATTTTATTTATTTATTTATTTATTTATTTATACATTCGATTTATTGTCCGCCCATCTCCCCCCAATGGGGAACTCTGAGCGGCTCAGAAAGTACATATATATAATTCTAACAGTGAGACAGTGAAATCTTACAATCTTACACATCTTACAATTATACAATTAGTGCTGTTATGCTGTGTGACCAGCAGGGGTCGCTAGGGGGTCATCCGGGCTTTCCCCCTCCCTCCAGACAAGTATAAACAACTCCCATAACTTAACACCTTTTCTAGTATTTCAATAATAAAAAGATCTATTCTTCCCATAACTCACCTCTTATCAATAAAAAAAATGGTAAAAATCGTCATTCAGTTCTATTATATTAACCTTAATGAAATAAATCCATTTTGTGCTCCAACTTACCACTTTCTGTAAGAGATAAAGCAAAAGAAATCTCTCCCCAGTTTAAAGCATCATCAGTCAGTCCTAGTCATAAAGAAATTCCATTAATAGCTACCAGAAACCACAATGTATATATTTCAATCCTGATCAAATAAGTTCACTTTGTAGTCCTTCCGTTTGCTTTTAAAAAGCTTTGTCTTTAATCCCAACAAATAGTGTCCCACAAGTTGATTTCTTAGCTTTTTCTCTTTGTCTCCTCTCAGGAACAGCTTCAGTAGCTTAACAGGTCCCTTTTGTAAGTCCAAAATGAAAAAGCTATGCAAGTCACCTCATGTATTATTTGTATGTCTCCTTTAGTTATTAAAACATCAGCCAGTTTCATTTGTAAATCCACTATAGCATCTTTCCCCATGTCACTCTTATAGTCTGTCATTGTTAAATCTGTTTTCAAATCTACATCATCTTCTTTCATATCACGATTGTAGTCTGGTGTTTTTTAAAATCCATTTTCAAATCCACATTCAAATCAGCCTCAGTCTCTATTTTATTGTGTAAAATATCCTCTTCTGTAACCGCTGTAATATCCATTTCTATAGTGGCAGACAATCTTGAAAGTAATTTCTGAGTACTTTGTTCCCATCTAGTTTTCATTTCTTCTATAGACAAATGATATTTCTCCATTGTATTAATGAGTCTCTTCTCCTTTAATTGTAATTTTTAATTCTCTCTGATTTCCTCTAGTCAGCCTTCAAAGTCTCCTCTTATCATATCTTTATTCTCCAATCAGCAAAACTTTCCCATAGGAAGATTTCTTACAGTTAATTTAAAAATCTTTACATATACCTTTATAAAATTTTAATCAACCCACAGGAAATATTCTTTCAAGTCCATCTGGCAACCTTAACTATCCAAAATCAACATTCTACACACATTTTTGCTATTTCCCCAAAATTAAAATGTTTCTATTTAATCTTTAAACTTACATAAAACTTCTTTCATCCAGTGTAGAAGGAAGCTTTCCCAGTGTGATGAAATTTGCCTTTCAGAAAGTTCTTAACATCCAAAAGGTCAATAAGTAGTTTCCTAAAGTAGTTAAGAGACAAAGCGGGTGAACCCAGTGTCCGTTTGAAGGTGCCGAACTGCAGCTTAGGCAAGATGGTTTTCCCTTGGCTCCCAGAGCTCTTAAACCCATCAGAGATCACTATTTTGCAATCTCTTCATGGGTGAGCCTCTGTATGGAGCAAACTTGTGAGTGATCCTAATCCTCTCCTTGATCCGGAGAGGGATTCCAAGGAGCTGATTCATTCACAGCTCCTCTTTTCACCACAGCCATCAGCTCTGCTCACGGAAAGCGGTCTTCAATCCACCATTGCTTCCCCAGAAGTCCAGAATATGCTTGATGTTCTGGATCAATGTTTGTGGAGTAATGGTTTGGATGAGGGCCAAGGAACTGAAAACTCAGATGGCAGATGACATTCATTTGCCACCTAAGCAA